CGCAGCATTGCCCAGATCCCTGTGGAGGCTTTTTGATGATCATCCCCCAGCACGAGTCCTCCAGAGAGTGCTGATGCCGGAAGCTCCTCCTCATATCGTATCTTAGTTCATTTTCTGGGTATCCAAGCTAGGCCTTGATCTTCTGCATAGAAACAAACAGACCCTTTGCCCAGACTTTGACATGCCCTCTATACTACTATGTAGAAGTCATTGGAGGTCAGCACACAGGAACTGCTTTTTTTTAATTAATTTTTTTATTTTTATTAAGAGAAAGAAAAGAGTACCTCCATAGCCGATCATCTGACACCCTTTAAGTGATCAAAATTAAGGATATTTAAAGCATGCGTTAATCTTTGATTTGCCAATAATTTTATCCTATCAAAGAGTAATCCCCCTTTCCTTTCTTTCTTTTTTTTCCTTTTGTTTTGTTTTTTTTAATCTTTAATCTACACTTACATGAAGAATACTATGTTTACTATGCTCTCCCCTATACCAAGTCCCCCCTAAACATAAAGATCTTTTAAAAGTTTACAACATATAAAGAAATGTAAACTGAGTTTTTAAAGTTTGCCAGTAAAATTGAGTATCATACATCCTGTATTCCATTTACCTAATTTGGCCTTTCCATTACCTAATCTACCAATACGTGTATAACATGATTAACATTAGAATATTTGAATATACTTTTTAAATTCTGAGAAGTTATTGAATAGGGCTTGAAAAACCATTTTGTATGGCTGGCTGGATTTTGAACTCCTAAAGGATTTCTTATTCTATGTAAACTTAAAGTCAAAGTAAATTAGCATCTTCAATTCTTATCATGTCAGCAATAATTACTCTCTCTCACTCAAACTATAGCAATTTTCCAGAACTGGTTAATTTAACTCCAGGTCACTTTAAATATCAAATATATATAAAAGAAGAATTAGTAAACATTAATAAAACTTGACATTATTAATGAGCAAAGATGGAGTTTTGCTTATTTTGCACATTACTTCATCTTAAGATTCTTACAATGATTCCTTTAATGGCCTCACATGTTCTTAACATGCCTAAATTTTAAAAATACATTAAAAAAAAAATCTTATTCCATACTCCTTAAAATGAAATATGTCTCTTCTGAGGCTCAAAAGAGCATTAAGGGCACTTTGGATTGTCATTGGTGAGGAATTTTTTTACCAATTAACAACTGTCTTTTAAGCTAAAAACTTTTTTTGCCTGCACTGAAATAGAATTTTCTATATATCGTGCCATACTAAATGGTTTTTCAGGCTCTATTCAATAACTTCTCAGGATATAAAAGTATATTCAAATATCTAATGTTACATAGAAGGGCAGTAGTTGTAGTAGTTTCAGAAAGGACTTTGAAAGCAGGTCCTTATTTCTCCAACCCACTAACCAGTGTTATCAATTCTCTGTAATGATAGCATCCATCCTTTACCTGTTATCACTCCCTGCTAGCCAGCATGCACAAGACACAAGGACCAGCTCAAGCTAGGATTTGTCAAGGCTTTTCCAACAACACTGAAGGCCTCATCTCTTTCCTAAACATAGAATCCATATGCCCAAATGGTTATTTCAACCTCAACCTGTTTAATTTTGTACCCAACAAAAATATCTTTCAAATGTTAAGGCAAAATGCTTTTTCCAGGTAGCCAAAAACTAAAAGAATTAGGCTCCACAAAAGAACAGAGCAAAAACTGAAGGAACAAAACAGAAGCAGACTCACAGAACCCAAGAATGGACTAACAGTTGCCAAAGGGAAAGGGACTGGGGGGTGGGGGCGGGGAGGGAAGAAGAAGGGGAGTAAGGGACATTACAATTAGCACATATGATGTGGGGGGTACTGCACAGGGAAGGCAGTATGGCACAGAGATGACAAGTAGTGATGCTATAGCATCTTACTACGCTGATGGAGTCACTGACATTATCCATACACCACCCCTGAACTATTACCCCCCTATCTAGTAACCACAATGTTGCTCATGTAATTGTATATTAATGATACCAAAAAAAGAAAAAAGAAGCTCCATACACATGCACCACAAGAAACATCAAAAGAAAATCAGCATTAGAAAAATGGTATTTAATAGAAATTTGGATCTAGGCCAAGGAATGAAGACTACTAGAAATGGCAAATATGTAGGTAGATATAGAAGAAATTTTTTTCTCATTTTTAAGTGTCTTTAAAACATAACTAAACAAAAACATAACAAGATATTATAGTGTATATAATACATACAAGTAAAATGTGTGACAACAGCAGCACAAGTATGAGACAGAAAAATGAATGTATATTATCAAGATCTTCCAGTATGAAAGAAAATTACAACTATTTGAAAGTAGAGCATGATGTTAAAGATGTGTACCGTAAACCCTACAACAACCACTTTATAATAAAAAAATAAATATTTTAAAGAATATTTAATCCAAAGGAAGGCAGATAAATCAGAAAGAAAGAACAAAACCAAATGAGAAAAAAATAGAAATATGAAGATGGCAGATTTAAATCCAAACATTTAGAGGATTATGTTAAGTATAAACAGCCTAATAACTCCAATTAAAAAAAGATGGAACTACAAACTATCTACAAGCCTACCTTCAAAATAGGTTACAGGTAAATCAAAATTAAAAAGATATAAAAAGACATACCACACATCCACGAGTCACAAGAAAAATACAGTAGCTAGTATACTGGAAAGCATATAATTCAGAACAAGGAATATTACACCAGG